CTTGCATGAATAAAACAAATCACAAAAAATATCTGTTTACATGTTTGAGTTAAAATATATGTCCATTATTAAGGTGTTACTCTTTGGTCTAATAAGTAAGATTTCTATGTTTTAGTTTGACAGTAGAATTTAATCAATTATCTAAACTACACACTTGAGTAAAACTCGGATCCTGATAATATAATGTAGTTGCAGAATTAATGTGACGAACAGCAGAGTGGGTGCGAGTGCTGTAGAAAACATACATCACAGCTTCAGTGTTATTTATTGTCTTATGTTTGTTGCCTTTTTGTCTCTTTGCCGCATGCAAAAGATATTAGTAGGCATAATCTGATTAAAATACAGATCCTATGTCCAAGCTTTGCTTTCAAGGATCTGAAAACGCTCCATTCTACTACTTTCTGTTTTAAAGACATTTCGGGATCCTCTTGTTTTGTCGAATAGATATCCACCTTCAACAATTTGAAAGCTGAATTTTAATTGGCTGATGTAATAACTACAAGAACAGAAAATCTGAGTGTTGTCAGATCCTTGTAAGCAAAGCTTGGACACATGATCTGTATTTTAGTGAGAATTTAGTTGGCGTATCTTCTTCTTCTTCTTCGTCTCTCTGTAACTTCCTCCTGTGGTTAGGAGTACATCAATTTCTTTGATTTTTTTCGGAGGGACTTATATTACACGGACGAAAATAGCTAAAATCACTTTGGAACTATTACAGTTACTGAAATAGTTCCAAGGTGCACTTTCGAATTAGGCTATTTTTAGGTCTCTTTATCCTGCAATGGGATGTGAAATTGCGATTGGCTATTTGTTAGGTCAATGAGTGGCTACATGTATTTGTCAGGTAAATGGTTGGCTGTTTATAAGGTCAATGATTAGCTATTTGTTGGGTCAATGATTGGCAATTTGTTATGTCAATGATTGGCTATTTGTTATGTCGATGATTGGCAATTTGTTATGTCAATGATTGGCTATTTGTTATGTCAATGATTGACTATTTGTTATGTCAATGATTGGCTATTTTTTATGTCAATGATTGGCTATTTGTTATGTCAATGATTGGCTATTTGTTGGATCAATGATTGGCTATTTGTTATGTCAATGATTGGCTATTTGTTATGTCAATGATTGGCTATTTGTTATGTCAATGATTGGCTATTTGTTGGGTCAAGGATTGGCTATTTGGTATGTCAATGATTGGCTTTTTGTTATGTCAATGATTGGCTGTTTGTTGGGTCAAGGATTGGCTATTTGTTATGTCAATGATTGGCTATTTGTTATGTCAATGATTGGCTATTTGTTGGGTCAATGATTGGCTATTTGTTATGTCAATGATTGGCTATTTGTTGGGTCAATGATTGGCTATTTGTTATGTCAATGATTGGCTTTTTGTTATGTCAATGATTGGCTATTTGTTGGGTCAAGGATTGGCTATTTGTTATGTCAATGATTGGCTATTTGTTGGGTCAATGATTGGCTATTTTTAGGTCTCTTTATCCTGCAATGGGATGTGAAATTGCGATTGGCTATTTGTTAGGTCAATGAGTGGCTACATGTATTTGTCAGGTAAATGGTTGGCTGTTTATAAGGTCAATGATTAGCTATTTGTTGGGTCAATGATTGGCAATTTGTTATGTCAATGATTGGCTATTTGTTATGTCGATGATTGGCAATTTGTTATGTCAATGATTGGCTATTTGTTATGTCAATGATTGACTATTTGTTATGTCAATGATTGGCTATTTTTTATGTCAATGATTGGCTATTTGTTATGTCAATGATTGGCTATTTGTTGGATCAATGATTGGCTATTTGTTATGTCAATGATTGGCTATTTGTTATGTCAATGATTGGCTATTTGTTATGTCAATGATTGGCTATTTGTTGGGTCAATGATTGGCTATTTGGTATGTCAATGATTGGCTTTTTGTTATGTCAATGATTGGCTGTTTGTTGGGTCAAGGATTGGCTATTTGTTATGTCAATGATTGGCTATTTGTTATGTCAATGATTGGCTATTTGTTGGGTCAATGATTGGCTATTTGTTATGTCAATGATTGGCTATTTGTTGGGTCAATGATTGGCTATTTGTTATGTCAATGATTGGCTTGTTGTTATGTCAATGATTGGCTATTTGTTGGGTCAAGGATTGGCTATTTGTTATGTCAATGATTGGCTATTTGTTGGGTCAATGATTGGCTATTTTTAGGTCTCTTTATCCTGCAATGGGATGTGAAATTGCGATTGGCTATTTGTTAGGTCAATGAGTGGCTACATGTATTTGTCAGGTAAATGGTTGGCTGTTTATGAGGTCAATGATTAGCTATTTGTTGGGTCAATGATTGGCAATTTGTTATGTCAATGATTGGCTATTTGTTATGTCGATGATTGGCAATTTGTTATGTCAATGATTGGCTATTTGTTATGTCAATGATTGACTATTTGTTATGTCAATGATTGGCTATTTTTTATGTCAATGATTGGCTATTTGTTATGTCAATGATTGGCTATTTGTTGGATCAATGATTGGCTATTTGTTATGTCAATGATTGGCTATTTGTTATGTCAATGATTGGCTATTTGTTATGTCAATGATTGGCTATTTGTTGGGTCAATGATTGGCTATTTGGTATGTCAATGATTGGCTTTTTGTTATGTCAATGATTGGCTGTTTGTTGGGTCAAGGATTGGCTATTTGTTATGTCAATGATTGGCTATTTGTTATGTCAATGATTGGCTATTTGTTGGGTCAATGATTGGCTATTTGTTATGTCAATGATTGGCTATTTGTTGGGTCAATGATTGGCTATTTGTTATGTCAATGATTGGCTTGTTGTTATGTCAATGATTGGCTATTTGTTGGGTCAAGGATTGGCTATTTGTTATGTCAATGATTGGCTATTTGTTGGGTCAATGATTGGCTATTTGTTATGTCAATGATTGGCTATTTGTTATGTCAATGATTGACTATTTGTTATGTCAATGATTGACTATTAGTTATGTCAATGATTGGCTATTTGTTATGTCAATGATTGGCTATTTGTTATGTCAATGATTGGCTATTTATTATGTCAATGATTGGCTATTTGTTGGGTCAATGATTGGCTATTTGTTGGGTCAATGATTGGCTATTTGTTATGTCAATGATTGGCTTTTTGTTATGTCAATGATTGGCTATTTGTTAGGCTAATGGTGACTTTATGGAATTATCGTTCTTCGTAGCAACGGATGAATGTTATTTCTTCAATAGTAGACAAAACATTCATCTGAACATTTTTTCTTTGTCATTTTTTCTTTTATTGTAAAGCGAACAAAAAGCTTAAAAATGTCCGAAACTAACATTTGCGCCTATGCTGACTTATGATGTCAAACTAGTTACGTTGTTGACATTTACTTGAAGCACTATACAGGTTTTCCATAGTGTGATTATAAAGCCGGTCATATAGTCCTTTCTATATGGGTATTTACTTTAAAATTTGTTCAAACTCATTTTATTCCGTTTTTTACATTTCCTTCTGTATCCGACAAATGTGATTTGAAAATTTTGAAATCATAAAATATGTTGAGTAGAATGTTAAATGATAAATGAAACAGACCCTGCAATATAAGTTTAGGATTTAGTTATCTACTTAATATTTTTGGAAGGTTACCAAATCCGATTTCGCATTCTTTTGGAAAGATTTATTTTCATCCAGTAATTTTAAGAAGTAAGTGCGAAATTGCAAAACGTATTTCAACTAATTTTCGACTGGTATTATACCAAATTGCCATGGGTTTCATAGGTGAGTAGATCATTCAAGTAGAAAATGATAATAAAGTTATATTTATTTTGTACGTCCGAAGCGCTTTTCTGGATTTACTTTCATTAGAAATGCTAAACCCGAAACTATATGACAAAAAGGGACCTAGAAATAGCCTAACTCATCTCTGTGCTTTTAAAAACTCATAAAAGAAATAATTATCAATTGTACAAAAGATGTTTAGAACATGGGGAGGGTAGAGCGCTCACAACCGTTGTTCACTCCGCCACATTCTGTAGATGCCTGTCCTATTATAGAAACTTCTAATCAAATAGTTGTCGTTGGTTTGCTGACTTACATATTTGTTTTTTGTTTGACTAAGGCCGTTGGTTTTCTCGTTTTAATTGATGCACATCCTCAGTTTAAAGTTAAGTAACAATGTTACGAACACTTTTCTTTCAGATAAAAATGATTCCATCATTTGGATATTTATTAACGAAAAAAGATTTTTTATTTGTGTTTTCCCTCGGTAAGATACCCCATTAAAGCGTTTATAATAGAAAAACAAAGGATATGGGGTATCCATCCATGACACAAAATCAGTACATGCACAGCAACAACAAAAAAACACAAAAAGCAAAGGAATAGCGCTTTTATTGCTGTTCTTCATCTCAAAGTCACAGTGAGGCCATGACCTCTTTGTATAAAAATCAAACCTCAACGCTTTCCCGTTAATATCTAAAAAAGAGGAAATGTTATTCGGTCACAATGAGACAATTTTTCTATCAGACATAAACTAAAAAAGAGGAAATGTTATTCGGTCACAATGAGACAATTTTCCATCAGAGACATAAAAAAACAATATACTGATGGAACAGCTGATTGAGTGATTGTCCCCTTATCGTTATGTGGCAAATATTACATGCGTACTCACTGGACAAGAATCAATTACGAAAGTGGGTCGACCGGGATCTGAGGGTCGTGTCGGATAAGAAATGTGCGATTGAGTTTTATTAAATTGAACCTCTTCTTAAAGACCAACCCTCGCTTAATAAGTTCGGTTAAAACAAACATATTTATAAACAAATTTTGAATTGAAATAGTCATTTAGATCTAAGATTAAAATTTGTGACGTTTAGATACAGCCGCATTAGTGTATAACCCACACCGTCTTTTTCTTAACAGGAAACAAATCAAGGAAACGTACATTATTCAATGGAATGTTAAGTTAAAGGCTAGCAATGAAATAAAATCAATAAGTATAAACGTAAATTTTTATTAAAAATTAAAATAACAAAAAAGTCATTTTATTGACATTTGAATTGATTTTCATTCTCAAATAACCGATACACAACGAGGTCAATCATGCATACATGAAATACATAAAAATATATAAACAATGCAAACATTACATACTACACACAATAGAACTACATGTAAGTAAAAGATAACTTAAATGGACCATCTAACAAGTATGATACTGAGACATAGATCGTTTGCTAAAGACTGTATTTGATTCCGGTAAGATATTTACTGTTCCCTTGATCAGAGACATATAATACACTCTGCCTAGAAGGGCTAAATGAAAAGTAAAGGGACATTATACTTTTTCAATGATAAATTTTATTTTAATGCCCAGAGAATGAAAATTTTAAGACTATCTAATTATCAAACGGAAGTATTGAGGTTTGAAATATTGCAACTTTTAAATTTTTATTTTTCCTGGCACAAGCTGGAAATACAAGAACTTTATGTTCTACAGGGATTAGTAGAATCTTTGTTTGACTCTATGGTTACTTTTTCATCAAACGATCTATTCATTTAGATATTTTTTGGATTTCTGATATTCTTAAAAAAATGAATATAAAACTGATTGTCTTAATTAAATCACATCATGCAAATTTTGTTGCCTTTTGGTTTTAATACAATTATCACGTCTGCTGCGCTAAACGCACACATAAAACAACTCTTACACATGTTTAAACACAATACGTGACAAACATTGATTTCATCCAAACTTACACGCTTTTAACAATAATTCTTTATCACAAAAACAAAATGAATGACAATGTGAGTTGCATATGAATGAATATGATACTTACTAAATGTAAAATGATAAAATATACTGGCAGTGAAAGACAGAGGTATTATGAGACTAACAAACTCATTAAAATTCTTCTTTTTCTCCTTCTGAAGAAGGTGAATCTTGATTTATCTTACTTATAATTGGATTAACAATGTTTTCTAAAGCTTTCTTCTGTTCTCTCAAATCTTCAGCTGAAGAATCTGAATTATTTTCCAACCATTTAATTTTTTCTTCGACTGCAATTTCTATTGTCAATTTTTCTTCGTCAGTCAATTTTCCTCCAAGTTTTTCTTTATCACTAATTTCATTTTTCAAGTTATATGTCAAACTTTCTAATTCATGTTTAGCATCTAAATTCTCCTTAGTAGCTTTATCTTCTTCAGCAAATTTCTCAGCATCATATATCATACGTTCTATATCTTCCGGTGAAAGTCTGTTATCATCCTGTTGTATAACGATATTGTTTTTCTGTCCCGTTCCTTTATCTTCTGCGCTAACGTTTAAAATCCCGTTAGCGTCAATTGAGAACGTGACTTCGATCTGAGGTACACCTCGTGGTGCTGGTGGGATACCCGATAAATCAAATGTTCCAAGTAGGTGATTGTCTTTTGTCATCGGTCGTTCGCCTTCAAAAACTTGGATTGTTACAGCCGGTTGGTTATCGGCAGCTGTTGAAAAGATTTGTGACTTCTTAGTTGGGATGGGCGTGTTACGTGGTGTCAGTTTAGTCATAACACCGCCGACTGTCTCGATACCTAGAGTAAGCGGGTTAACATCCATCAACAAAAGATCACTGGTCTCATCTGCTCCGCTAAGTATACCACCCTGGATAGCAGCGCCATATGCAACTGCTTCATCTGGATTAACTCCCCTGCTTGGTTCCTGTATAAAAGTAGTGTTGGTATTATATTAATTTGCATATTTAAACATGTATCAAACTTTTCATATATAGGTATAACGAGAGTATTATTTTTAAAACTATGTTTTATAAGAGGAAAGCTTTATCAAAAGTTGAAAGCAAACCCAAAACATATTGTATAGACAGTTGTCGATCGTTGAAGACTGCACGTATATTTAAAAAATCTCAATTAATGGCTGTAGTGTATTTTTTTTCTTCGCTTACTGTTTTATAAACATATACTCATATACATTGTATGTTTGATATGCATACCTTCCTTTAGATAAAGATGCATAATTATAATTCATATTTCCAAAATTTTAAAGTAATTCACCTATTTGAGTAACTATGTGTTTTGTTAAATTATATGGTGAATTATATTTTACATGTTACAAACTATGTTGTTCTAAATACAAGATAAATCACCTTTTCGTTAAAATAATCTTTGAGTAGTTGTTGAATTTTAGGAATTCTTGTGGATCCACCAACAAGAACTATTTCGTCAATTTCAGATTTTTTCATATCAGCATCTTCTAAAACTCTCTTAACTGGTCTCATGGTAGATCTGAATAAATCCTAAAACGAAAGTAAGGAATAAATTAACTAATATATGTTGCCGAAGACTCGTCATACTGTGCCAATTTTTACTTTTTAATCTTCCAAGGTTGAAAAACTTTAAAAATCCGATTGAACGTGTCGATCGTATAAATCAAAACAATTCACAAAATAGTTAAATGACATTAAAGCATGTTATTGGTCGGATTATTGTGTAATATCCGCCACTGGAAAACTAACAGCATCCTCTTTTCTTATAACTTGTGTTGGTAGGTTGCTGTTTTATATACATATACAACATATATCCTTTTATTTAAAGGCAGTTATCCATATGCTGGGATTGAATTAAAGATGCCACCTACCGTTGCAGCATTGAAAATGAAAACATTATTTTGTTTTACTGACTCATTATTACTTGGAACACTGCATATTCAAAGTGAAAGTAACACAAATATCATGCGCATTATTGAATGAATACTTAGTCTAGTAAATACGCTGGCCCTCCGAATCATACTTTTCTCCCGTTTTGTTGAAATTTTCGCTTTCATTTTCCTTGTTTGTATTGACCGGTCCAGTTGACGGCTTTATCTATGATTGTCTCCGGTAAATCATAAAAATGTAAAACGACAAATAATTTACAACTTGTTTTTGTCTACAACTTACCATGTTCAATTCTTCAAATTTCGCCCTTGATATTGTTTCGGAGAAATCTTCTCCTTCAAATAGTGATTCAATCTCTATTCTAGTTTGATGAGCAGACGACAGGGCTCTTTTTGCTTTTTCGACTTCACGTCTAAGTTTTTGCACTGCTTGCTTGTCAGTCCTAATATCTTTTCCTGTTTTCTTTTTGTACAATTTTACAAAATGGTCCATAACTCTTTGGTCAAAATCTTCACCGCCCAAATGAGTGTCTCCATTTGTAGCGGCAACCTCAAATATTCCATTATCAATAGTCAAAATGGAAACGTCAAAAGTTCCTCCTCCCAGGTCAAAAACAAGGACATTCTTCTCTCCTTCCTTATTGAGACCATATGAAATAGCTGCTGCAGTTCTAAAGATAAACATTAAGACGATATGAAGACATAAAGAATGCTATTTTGCAATCGATAACAACAGTGTTTTACGCAGAGAACATGTTTTAAAATCAAACCTTAGAAAATCGATTGGCAAATCGTAACAGTCAAAGCAATTGGCCCAAAGTATTACTTCGGATTTTATTCTACGCAAAAATTGTTAAAATGAAAATGACAATACTTCAAAAAATTATTCATCGTATCGTCAGTGTCTTTTCCATTCAATAATTTTAATCCGAAAGTCTGGAAAAAGTTTTGTTTGATACACTGTCGAAAACCTGAACCTTATTTTGTCTTGGATTATGTCAGATTTTATGGACTTCCCTCTTTCGAATTTTCCTTATAGTTTGGTATTTTTTTTAATATTTTTTTTTCTTAAACTAGATACTTACGGTTCGTTGATGATTCTTTTAACGTTGAGACCAGCAATTCTTCCTGCATCTTTGGTAGCCTGTCGCTGGGCGTCATTGAAGTAGGCGGGGACAGTAACAACTGCGTGGGTTACCTTTTTACCAAGATATCCCTCGGCAATGTCTTTCATCCTACTCAGAACCATTGCAGATATTTCCTCTGGAGCGAATACTTTAGTGGAATTTCCAACCTTGACTTCTATATGCGGTTTGTTGTTCTTGTTTAATACTTTGAAAGGATAATGTCTCATGTCACTCTGGACTGATTCGTCATCCCATTCCCGACCAATCAGACGTTTTACGTCAAATATCGTATTCTCCGGATTGGACGTCAGTTGGTTTTTGGCAGCATCACCTATCAGACGTTCACCGTCTTCTGTAAACGCTACATAAGAAGGGGTGATCCTGTTTCCTTGGTCATTTGCAATGATCTCAACTCTTCCGTTTTTATACACTCCGACGCTAAAAAGTGATAAAGACATTATTTAAACTTCATAAAAATGTAAAAACAAACAGAAAAGAAAAATTATATTCAAAAGATGAAATGACAATTAAATTTGTTTTTTATAACTTAAGATGTTATTATTAAAAACATACTATATTACTTTTTCGCATCTCGGTTAAATTAGTGACGTAATGATTGGGTTAGGCCATCACGTGGTAACTCCCGTCTATGGATTCGTATGGGGTCCACGGGGGTTGGGGTGGGGGAGGGAGGGTGTACTTCGATATTTTTTCGAATTCATAGGGTGTGCCATTTTTGCCTAAAAAAATGTACCCATTTTAATATAACATTCACTGAAAATCAGTACCTTTAGTTATATAAAAACTTAAGAAAGAATTACCTTTACTTATATACAAATCAGGAGACAAATTTCCGGGGTTCATTTTGGAACTTATTTAAAAGGTAGACTTTCAAATGAATTGATCTAATTTAATATAATGATTGACCATTAATAATGTAAGATTCTCAATAGCATATTTATGTATGATATGTCAAGCAATCAAACGTAAATGCATTTTTATAAAGGGTGTAATAACTAGAGGCTCTAAAGAGCCTGTGTCGCTCACCTTGGTCTATGTGCATATTAAACAAAGGACACAGATGGATTCATGACAAAATTGTGTTTTGGTGATGGTGATGTGTTTGTAGATCTTACTTTACTGAACATTCTTACTCCTTACTATTATCTCTATCTATAATGAACTTGGCCCAGTAGTTACAGTGGAAAATATTTTGTAAAAATTTACAAAAATTTACAAAATTTATGAAAATTGTAAAAACATGACTATAAAGGGCAATTACTCCTTAAGGGGTCAATTGATAATTTTGGTCATTTTGACTTATTTGTAGATCTTAATTTGCTGTACATTATTGCTGTTTACAGTTTATCTCTATCTATTATAATATTCAAGATAATAACCAAAAGCTGCAAAATTTTCTTAAAATTACCAATTCAGGGGCAGCAACCAAACAACCTGTTGCCTGATTGGTCTGAAAATTTCAGGGCAGATAGATCCTAATGAACAATTTTATCCTCGTCAGATTTGCTCTAAATGCTTTGGTTTCAGAGATATAAGCCAAAAACTGCATTTACCCTATGTACTATTTTTTAGCCATGTCGGCCATCTTGGTTCGCGGGCGGAGTCATCGGACATATTTTTTAAACTAGATACCCTAATGATGATTGTGGACATGTTTGGTTAAATTTGTCCTAGTAGTTTCAGAGGAGAAGATTTTTGTAAAAGATTACAAAAAATTTACGAAAAATGGTTATAAAGGGCAATAACTCCTTAAGGGTCAACTGACCATTTTGGTCAAGTTGACTTATTTGTAGATTATACTCTGTTTACAGTTTATCTCTATCTATAATAATATTCAAGATAATAACCAAAAACGGCAAAATTTCCTTAAAATTACCAATTCAGGGGCAGCAACCCAACAACGGGTTGTCTGATTCATCTGAAAATTTCAGGGCAGATAGATCTTGACCTGATAAACAATTTTACCGGATGTCAGATTTGCTCTAAATGCTTTGGTTTCAGAGATATAAGCCAAAATCTACATTTTACCCCATATGTTCTATTTTTAGCCATGGCGGCCATCTTGGTTAGTTGGCCGGGTCACCGGACACATTTTTTAAACAAGATACCCCAATGATGATTGTGGCCAAGTTTGGTTTAATTTGGCCCAGTAGTTTCAGAGGAGAAGATTTTTTGTAAAAGTTAACGACGACGGACGACGACGGACGACGACGACAACGGACGACGGACGCCAAGTGATGAGAAAAGCTCACTTGGCCCTTTGGGCCAGGTGAGCTAAAAAGGAGGGTCATTTCTATATAAAATCTGGCAAAATTATGACCCATATTTTTGGCACATCCCCGTACACCCAATAATAGAAAGTGACCCCCCATACGTGATGAGGCCAGTATCAAACCATATAACTAATAGGGTCTCATCTTATCAAATTGTGAAATTGAAAAGGGAAGGCTTGGTCGAGATAGATCCCCGTATATCATGAATCTCGCTGGTTAAATCGCCGTTTGATTTGGATTTGGAATTAAGGTGGAATTTATCCAGTCACGTGATTGCTTCAAATTTAGCCACATTGTTATTCAAAGATATATGCTGGCGAGTAATTTTTGTTCCATTTGAAATAAAATTTTCTCATGTCCCAAGTTTCTGGGTAATGCTTCAGATTAATAATTTCAGCACGTAAAAGACTGATAATGGCGCCAATGTACACTCTTTACACTATAGTATTAAATTATTCTTTCAAATAGAGTGATCAAACATTGCCTTTAAATAGGTTTATTAGCTAATAAACATCTTTTCAGGCAATGTTTGGTCGTTCTACTAAACTAATAAACATATTTCTAGGCAATGTTTGATCGTTCTTTTAAACTAGTAAACATATTTCCGGGCAATGTTTGGTCGTTCTTCTAAACTAATAAACATATTCCCAGGCAATGTTTGATCACTCTATTATTTCCAGACAATGTTTGATCACTCTATTATTTCCAGACAATGTTTGATCACTCTATTATTTCCAGGCAATGTTTGTTCGCTCTATTTTTTCCCAGGCAATATTTGATTACTCTATTATGCTGGTTCAGTTAACTATTTTATTAGAATCGTAACAACAATGGGTTCAAAATTTATTTTATAAAAAATGTATAGAATGTAAAGTTGTATGACCAGTTTCTTACTGTATGTCTAAATTTCTTCTTCTTATGCACCAAAAACATACTTTCAGTAAATGACGGGAAAATATAATGTCATCGTCTTATACTATAAAAATGTCACATATCTTTACTCACCAAGAATAAGTAGTTCCGAGGTCGATACCAATCACCGTTCCTATATCTTCGGCGTCCCCACACAAGAGGCCCAAAAGGGTGATAACTCCAATCAAATATAACTTCATTTCTGTAAATGATTAAAAATCAGTAATTATATTTACAAAAACATATATTACATATAGATTCATAATGAATAGTTTTAGAGGAAGTCGCTTAAAAGCAGAATCTGATATACCAAGAATGTGTCCAAAGTACACGAATGCCCCACTCGCACTATCATTTTCTATGTTCAGTGCACCGTGAAATTTGGGTCAAAACTCTAATTTGGCATTAAAATTAGAAAGATCATATCATAAGGAACATGTGTACTAAGTTTCAAGTTGATTGGACTTCAACATCAAAAACTACCTTGACCAAAAACTTTTACCTTAAAACTTTAACCTGAAGCGGGACAGACGAACGAACGGACGGACGAACGAACGCTCAGACCGAAAAAAAAACATAATGTCCATAAATGGGGCATAAAAACAAGGATAATTATAATTATGGTATGATTGCCAATGAGACAACTCGTCACTTGCGACCAAATGACATAGACGTTGACAACTAAATGCCACCGTACGGCTTTCAACAATGAACTAAACCCAAACGGCATAGTAAGCTATAAGACCATTTAAACGCTGAGAGTGATTACTAGTGTAAACTGAAAACTAATAATAAACAGCGGAAATTTTTTTTAGCTAGTATAGCAAGTCAAGAAATGATAAAATTCATAATCTAAGTAAAAAATGTATATTTATGGCCGAATTATCGAAGATTCAAATATAATGTGACACTCTCCATGTCCCTTCTTTTAAAACGTGAAAGGAGAAAAGAAGGACAGAAAAAAGGGGTGGGGGTGATTGCCAATGAAATTAAAAACAACTATCCACCGAACCGTGACCAAAGATCAAATAACGTAGATGTAACTTAGTTTAAAATCTTTAACTTACTTTTATCAATTTGTTTTCTTCTTATTTATAATTCCGTTTCAATAATTTTCTTCTTGAAACACAGGCTGTAGAATATCGTAGTTTTAGTTCGGTTTCTCTTTAAAGTTCAACTTTTGATTTAAGACTGATATTGAATTAAAGTAAAATGAAATTTATATTAAAGAATGTAATTGTTATCTTTGCTTATTCATTGTATAAGTTGTCGTGGCATTCATTTATTTGCTGAGCTTGTTATTTTATTTCGCAGTTGATTCATTAAGGGTAACGTGTTATTAATAAGTACGCGTGGTCTTTAAATTCTGCGCCGAAATAATGTAAACAAATCGATCGAGGTTTCATCATATTTGAGTGTTATGACGTCATGCATAAATAGTTTATTTATACATCGAATGTACCTGGACTGTAGACTATACACTAGATAGTTGGGAAATATCCTGCAAATGCCAAATAAAGATATCTAATACGTCACTTTCAGGGAGCCAATCGGAGATGCAGATACTTATGCATTATGGTGAAGCTGTAATTAAGATGGCGACGGTCCTGCATCTCGAAACCCCTGTGTTTTTAAGCGGTGCCAAGTCAGAAGAAGGAGAACAATTAGGTATTTTAGTGGCAGAGGAAACTTACAGTGATGTTTTTTTTAATTGGATTTCTCTAAAAAGCCCTTACAAAAGTTATTTGCATAGTTTTATACCGTCGCCTACTGAAGTTATCTACGGCTACAGATACCCCAAACAATGACATAAATGAATTGAAGAAATATAAGAAAAGACTAGGATAAGGCATAAAAAGATCGCGCGACAATAAATAGGATTTGCCTTTTAAAGAGGCTGTACCGCTCCCACAGCTGTACATGACTTTTAACTTAATATGATTAACTTCACTATGATTAATAGTAATAATACGTAACCCAGGGATCATTATTTGCTTTTCAAAATGAATTACTGAACCAATCGTGATTTGAACCTGTGACCCATTGCACAGAAGAAAGTCGCTGCTCTACCAACTCAGCTAAACGAGTAATCCACAAGCACATGGTTAAGTATTGACAAGGTGAGACTAAGGGGAAGGGGTAATGCCATGAAGTGGCGTGAGGGCTCCACTTTTGTGGTCTAAAATGAACACGTTGAGGGATCCTATGCAATCATTCTTTTATTCTTCCCATTGTGATTTCCTTGGTCGCCATGTTGGATGTACACACTATATTTATAATGATCTTTATGAACTTACCTGCTTTCTGTAAATCATTTTTAAGTTATAAAATACACTTATAATATAATATCATTTAATAATCAATGTTTAAAAGTCATCAATATGTGCTAATATTAAAATTTCAAGTGTTATTCGGATAATAACAGTGTTATTTGGTCATTCGAGGTACCGAAGGGGAAGCACGGCTACACTCCCCCGCGTCAACATACCTGATGACATACGGGCAATATCAACAACACTTACTCTGGCTGTAGGTTTTACTTTTAAACACCCTTGGTTTTTGTCGAGCCTTCGACTTTTGTTAAAAAAGCGAGACATAGCGATCCTACATTCCGTCGGCGGCGGCGGCGTCCACAAATATTCACTCTGTGGTTAAAGTTTTTGAAATTTTAATAACTTTCTTAAACTATCCTGGATTTCTACCAAACTTGGACAGAAGCTTGTTTATGATCATAAGATAGTATCCAGAATTAAATTTTGTAAAAAAAAAAATCCTGTTTTTCCGTATTTTACTTATAAATGGACTTAGTTTTTCTGCCAGGAAACATTACATTCACTCTGTGGTTAAAGTTTTTAAAATTTTAATAACTTTCTTAAACTATCCTGGATTTCTACCAAACTTGGACAGAAGCTTGTTTATGATCATATGATAGTATCCAGAAGTAAATTTGTAAATAACAAAATTCCATTTTTTCCGTATTTAATTTATAAATGGACTTAGTTTTTCTGCCAGTTAACATTACATTCACTCTGTGGTTAAAGTTTTTAAAATTTTAATAACTTTCTTAAACTATCCTGGATTTGTACCAAACTTGGTTAGAAGCTTGTTTATGATCAAAAGCTAGTATCTTGAAGGAAATTTAAAAAAAATTTGTACCTGTTTATCAGTATTTTACTTATAAATGGACTTAGTTTTTCTTCCAGTTAACATTACATACAGTCTGCAGTTAAAGATTTAAAACATTTATTAGATTCATAAACTATCCTGGATTTTTACCAAATTGGGACAGAAGCTTCTTACAATCAAAAGATTGTATCGAAAGTAATATTGTTATTATTTTTTTTCCTCATTTTTGTTGAGCCTGCGATTAACAGCAAAAGTAGGCGAGACACTGGGTTCCGCGGAACCCTTACGATTTTTTTAGTTAGACACCGATTGTAACCGGAAAGCATGATTTGTCTGATAAAGTAAATTACTGATTCAGCCTTGATTTGAACCTAAAACCCTGGCATAGTAAGCCACTGCTATACAAACTGAGTTAAGTAAGCATAACTAATGGAGGGCAGTTATATATATCTTCTATGTAACTTGTAAGATGACAGTGTTCTCGAAAATCGTCGGTCCTGACTGCCAAAAATCAGCCAGGACCGAAAATTGCATGTGTAGTGGCAGTCCTGATGACCGACAATATTTTGGTGGTTGTTCACTTTTGTTTTCACATCTTTTCGGTATTCAGATAGCTTTTGAACTGGTTGCTAATGTAAACAAACTTTTAACTGTATAGGTCAAAATTACGGTACTACTTTTGAAAAAGAACCAGTCGTCGGTTTCTTTGGTATCCAGATAGTTTTTGAACTGGATACTACTGTAATTTAACTTTTGTAGCCTCTAGCTTAAAATTACGGTAATACTTTTGAAAAATAACCAGACATAAAAGTCATCATGGCATCCACATGGCTCATTTCGTTCAGAGTGGGTGCTAAACCAGAGGACTTTGTATTTGAACAGACAGAGACTGAACATTTTTTTCTATATTACAAAAATTGCAGCTGAGGAATAAACATCAGACTTCTTTTATTTCTTAATTTTAATGCACTTTTCACTGTAAATGATTGTAGTGGACACAGGTTGGGAACAAGTCAGGAAAAGTGGGGTATTCACTGTTTTCAGGGAACATCCCAGTTTACAGGGACTTCCAATTTCTATTTCAATTTATGGCATGAATCAGTAGTATTTGTAAATACTTAGAGTATTTCATGAACAACAAAGCATGAATAAGTGAGGCCTTTCTTTTTCTAGAACTCAAAAACATACAAATCTTTTGTTTAGGAATCAACTGACCAAGATGCATGCTCCAGGTGTAACTGACCATTACTGAATTATGTTCACTTCTATTGAAAGTTTCTATTCATTGAATTTAAATGCCCAATTGATTAACCTATCTTTTTGTCATCTCATAATTGAATTATTGATGATCAAGGTATGAATTGGTGAACAAAGGAGTTGTTTTGTTGTGAGTTGAGTACCAAATAGACTTGAAATTAGTTTGATTTTTGAACTAATAAAAACACCTGCTAACATAAAACATTGTTATCAGATGTAAAAGGTGCACTTTTGTAGATTTCATACCATAAAATAGGAAAAAAGAAGTCCCTGTATACTGGTTTTTTTTTTAACACCAGAAAACTGGGGTGTAACATGAAAACAGGGAATACCCCACTTTTCCTTACTTGAGTCCACCCAACCTGTTAAACTTATTAAGCCTCGATGTAATTCATCATTTCGTAAAAGACATTTTTCCTAACGAATTATAAACAATTGGAACAGTTTACCCAAAATGTTGTGTCTGCAAAGACCGTTGATAACTTTAAAATACAACTTGATCATCATTGGGAAGATGTTATGTACCAGTTTTAGTGATAAATTATTTTTATTACAAATTTTTATTGAAATTCCTTACACTTGAGCCCTTAAACGACTCTACAGGTATTCTACAGGTAGTATAATGCATGAGACTAACACAAAAATGAAATCAAACATGTTATCAAACTGACAAAGTATAAAAATTAGTGAACAATGCAAAGTTCAAAATTTCATTGAAAACAACCAAATATATAACATAGAAACTAGGATGGAGTTTATATATATTGAGCAATGACTTTCATTTAACTAATAGGGGTTTGATAAATTCAAGTAAAATTACAGGACCACCAGATTTTTAGTCTTGGTGGTCCCAATGACCACCAGGAAAAAAAAGATTTCGAGAACTCTGAGATGATTAATTACAACAACTAAAAATGTTTGTAAGATCCAGAATGAATAAACACAGAAAATTTGTCTGCTATAAATTAATGATGGCTTTTTTGAGGAAAATTTTACTGGGCTGTGGTTAGGATTGTGAATAATCATGATGATAACATTTTTCAAATTTAAAAAAAAAAGTTTATAACCTTGAGAGGGAATAATCAGCACTGGTCAGTGGCGGATCCAGAAGGGGGGGCGTAGAGGGCGTACTTGCACTTTTTTTTTTATTAAGACTGTAAAATGGTTAATCAGACTAGATATTGTTGAGTGACTCTGCCATTTCCGCTATTATGCAAATTACACATGAGACCATGGATCTATATATCTGTTAGAAACACATGAAGGACTTTTTTACCACAACGAAACATAGGACCATAGAACTATTAAACTGTTAGTAGCATGCCATGGTCTCTTTTATACATATTACACATGAGACCATGGACATATATACGTTAATAACACATCATGGACTTTTAAACCACAAAGAAACATAAAAACATGGACCATAGACTGTCAGTAACATGTCATGGTCTCATTTATGCATATTACACATGAGACCATGGACCATGGACATATATATCTGTTATTAACACATCATGGACTCTTATAAAGCTATGCAACAGAAGACCATGGACCAATTAGACTTGTCAGTAACATGTCATGGTCTCATTTACGCATATTACGCATGAGACCATGGACCTATACATATGTTATTAACACATCATGGACATTTATACCACAATAACACATAAAACCATGGACCAATTAGATTGTATCATGCCAAGGTCTCTTTTATACACATTACAAATGAGACCATTGACCTATGTATCTGTTTTCAACACACAAAGAAACATAAGACCATGGACCAATTAGACCGTAACATGCCATGGTCTCTTTTATACACACTACACATGAGACCATGGACCTATACATATGTTATTAACACATGGACTCTTATACCACAATGAAACAGAAGACCAAAGACCAATAAGACTGTCAGTAACATACCCTGGTCTCTTTTATACATATTACACATGAGACCATTGACCTATATATCTGTTTGTGATGGAATAATACAATCCACTTCATAACCCTCTGTAACAATAAAGGACTTGCTTAGAAGTTTGTTCAATTGACCTAGACCTAGCTGATTTGCTGGCTTCAGAATTTTATAATCAATATATGACTGGAAGTGGTGTGATTTCGAAAATTAAGCTTAAATAGGGACATAGCACACAAATAATATATTAATAATAGAGCATAAATGTTGCAATCTAGCTTTAAAATGTAACTGTAGACAAGGAAAAAATAAAATAGCACCCTAATTTGAAAGGTAAGATACACAAAATGCACAAGGGAAAAAAGACGCATCTTTTTGAGTGAAGCCCATACTATTTCATTTGTAATAAGTCTATTGCAATATTAAATATAGTGGAAAAGATTATGTCATCCAATACATTAAAATTCCTAAAACACTCTTACCTATGTATACACTACCATATGCTATGTGTTTATCATTCTCGTCATAGGAACTCCTAAGCTCCTCTACAGGTTCCTCAGTTATTGGTACCTAGCAAAATAAAAAAGTATTTTTTTCAAAAACCTAAATAAATTTGTAAAAGGGTATCTATAAGTAATAAATTGTCAGATTGGTACATGCATTTCTTCTCTTTTTTCCTTGTGTATATAGAAACAACCAATAATTCAAACATTTCTTTTATACCGCACAAAATAATTACAAAAACTAATTCACCACATTTTCAAATGATTATCACCAGAAATAATGAATTCCAAACATTACAAACCTGAAGAGAAAGATCTTTGACTAAGTGAGTTTTGCCTGGAAAAAAAAAAAGACACCATAAGTTTTAACATATACATATCTATTTGCATTCAGCAATCCTATTCGACTGTACATATCATTCATTTTCTAGAGGTGTGAAAGCATAGGAAATTTAAATATATTTAATACCAGTAATATCTTAAATAACTTAGAAAGTGCCTATGAGAAATTGTTTACTCTTTTGGATCACCAAAGTTAATCCATATTTTTGAGATTAAATAATATTCATTCTTGAAATACAGAATTTTCAGTTTAGTAAATTATTTTTTTATCTCAATATAAAAAAAACAGTAATAAAAACAAACTGTAAGGGTATCTAGTCCATGTATGTTCAGTTCATTGTCTAAAATTGTGAGGTGTTGCTTGCCTTGTAACAATTGTTTTTATAGTTCCTGTTATATCATATGTATGTGTGATAACTGAATATTTATAATATAGTAAAATAAACGGACTGAAGTAATCTGCATATTTGAAAACATACAAACGGATTTCTGTGAGGACTAAATACATTTTTAAATGTGCTTAATTAATATATACTCATTCCTGTTCCTATTATAATACATTATACCCAGGGAAGGCACTTTAATACTGCTCATACTGGTCCTGAGAAGTCTCATTCAATCCTATATTAATCCTAATATTGACCACTATAATGTAAAAATGCCTATTGTGTGATTTCGAAAATCATTCTATATACCAAAAATATCATAACTGAAAAGCACAATACTTAAATTATAAGAAGTTTTAATACCAAACCTTTTTTAGCATGACAGCAAATAACATGGTCTATCAGAAAATCTTCTCTGGAGCATATTACTGGACAAACAGGACAATTATAAGTTCTCTGAAACAATATTGCATATTGAACTTTAAATGAACAACTTTTGATATATCATACATCTATCAATCTGGTATGATTTGCAAATTTCAATATCTGTAGGTAAACAAGATTAAATACCACCTTCCTCTGGATGTCTGGTAAAAAAAATCAAACACCCACAAAAAAACAAAATACTGACAGTAAAATAATGTTTAAAAGCAGAAAATAATCATGTCAGTACAAAAACTATTGTATCTGCCTTTTCTGTTCAATCTATTAAAAAATTAATATAGATGCAAGATAGAAATACACCGAATTCAAAACGTTTACATAGATTATTTAAAAAAAATTCTAATTAAGTAATGTTATTATTTGGTGTAAATATTTGAACTGAATAGAAACTGTAACAAGATTACTTTTTTTTCTTTCTTAGTCACAGCTGTTTTCTTTGATTGCTTCACTTGTAAGGATTCCACAGATTGCTTTTTCGTGTCAGTCTAAAATAAATGCAATAATTATTCAAATATCTTCCTTTTTGCAATAAAATGAATATTCAAGTCCAATAATTCAGTACATTTCCTATGATATTACAGGGTAATTGAATAATTTAAGCTTTATAGAAATAGTAACTTAACAAAATCAAGCACAAGAAAGTATTAAGGATAGAGTAACAAATGTATTCAAGCAACATTGTACTTGCGACTTATTGTATTCTTTAAATGTTTTTGCCTTTGAATTCAAAAATTATGTCTCATTAATCTTTCTATATAATTTGTAGGGATTAAAAAATTAAATGTTAAGATAAATGATATTTTAATTTTCTGCATTTCAATATCAGCATAAGTCTTTAAGTAAACAAAACAATACCTGATAGAAACTATGAATGACTGAGGATGACAAGATAACAGCCAGATCCTCAGTAACATCTAGGACTATTTCATTCCTCTTTAAACTGTATCTATAAGAAGTGGAAGTAGAATTAGAAAAATATAACAGTTTAAAACTATGAAGAGATTTAAGTTGTGGTACAATCTTGGATTAAAGGATTTTGTTATTCATATTTCATTGTTTTCAACCTTTTTTTAAGCATGTACAAATGAATCTTCTGCAATACAATATAAATTCAAATGTGCTATAGTATTTATATATACATCATATGTGTACTTGTTTTCAGACTTCTATATAACCTATCCTTTAAAGTAAAAGCTCCTTGATAGTATTTAAAATTAGAAACACTAAAATTGTTGTTGCCTCATGAAGTTTTGTTGGAATTTTTTTTAACATGCAAGCATTTAAAACACTTGAATATCAACTTTTAAAAAGCATGCCATGCATTTAAAATAAAATTAGAATAATTAAACTTATAACGATAAATTTCCAAAGTTTTCTTCAACATCATGCATTCATGCTAGTAAGATATCAATGAAGTTTTAAACCACAAAAAATACTTCATTCAAGTAATTACAAAAAGAAAAAAAATATCAACTTTTTATAGGCATGCCATGGTATTTAGTGGTCATTTAAAATTAATTAGAATACTTCAACTTATAACGATTAACTTTCAAAGTTTTGTTCAACATCATGCATTCATGTTAGTAAGACATCAATGGAGTTGTAAATCAAAAAACTTCTTCATTCGAGTAATTACAATAACAAAAACACATTAAAAGGTAACACAATAATGCAACGATGACAAACCCTGTTTTATAAGTTCCTCTTGGTTTTCTGTGAGACTAAATTAAGAAGGTAATGAAAACAAATAAAGTTATATAATTTTTGTTCAAATCATTTAAGGATGTTTGCTAGTCTTTGTTTTTGACAGATATTGGTAATCCTCTGGTTTTATTCACATGTAGTTCCATCAAAAAGTTAGAATGCTAACTCCGTCTATTCTTTTCCTAATTTATAACATATAGTTTAAAAAGCCTTTTATTTTTATTTTACATAGTTTTTAAAAGAAAAAGGTGCTAATGTTAAATGTATGGAAAATCTAGAGAGAATAAATTCCCACCAAATTTTAAATGGCTTACATCTTAAAAACAAGGACACAAACCTTTAATCAGTTATGATTTTTTAACTTATTTATATACTATAAAGTTATAAGTCTTTTAAAAAATATAGCACCGAACTTTGTTAACATCCCATCTTTATTAATTCAAAATACATATAAAATATGACAGGTATATTTTCCCATGAAATGTCAATAAAATGCATGTTAGCAGCCCTATATTTTTTTTTTTATCTATTAGCAATTTATCCTATAACTTTAAATTAGGGTCTATCATAGCTGCTTATGAACTTATAGAGAATCTATGATTTTATGATATTATCTTTGTTTTGTATTATAAAATGATATTTTCTATTTTAAATAGTACAAATTTTAATTTTTCACTTACTCTTTTATTATTTGATCTTCTTGCCCCAGCTGAAGACAATCTCTTCCTCTTAGAAGGGGTTCTTGAGGAATTCTGATGTTCAGCATCCTGTAATAAACATTCAAATGTAATTCTCAACATCAATCAAAGACAAATGTTAATACATGTACATATCATATAAAATCAGCAGTTACATAAACCTGGGAACAGTATATCTAACGGGAAATGAATCGGATAGGCTTTCCAGTATAAAATTGATAAAATCTCGGACTCCTCAAGACTTCGCAAGATTTATGGATTTTGGTGGCGTCTGACTGAAAATTTATCGGAACTGCTCAATAAAGTAATCACATAATTCTAATCGTAAATAAATACAAGTTTTATCATAAAGTAGATATATTTTGTCATATAAAATGACCAAAATAAGTGTGATTTATTTGATGTGAAGTGTTTTATAATGTTTTTGAATTTGGGAATACAATTGGCGCCATTTTTTTAATACCGTTTGCATTCTGTACCATTCTGTGATAAAATGAATGCAATTATAACAAACTTGAAGTGACAGAATACAAGTTTGATACAACTGTAAAACTAGTTTGAATGACATTTTATTGATATTATCAGAAATTATTAGGATAATAGCGAGTACGTTTTTGAAACATGTCCGTTTCCGTATCGTATCTTTATTACCTATGACACGACGATAAAATTGGCTACAATTAGGTAGTGTCAAGTCCCGTCAATATATATGTTCCTGCATAAACAGTAAGGAAACCGTTTCAATTGTGTTAACTATAATAAACACTTCACAAAAAGAAAATATTCAAAGTAAATCCATTATTTTGTAATACTTATGTCATTATCATGTTATGATTTGTTTATAATTCCATTTCTTATCTAGTACATCAATATGTACAATGAACAAATGTGCTTTTATTTTTTTCAAAGGCAGAGCCTGCATTTAAAAACCTGAATTAAAATGCCAGGGCGACCATTTAAAAAATATCATAGAAAATCAAATGTTAATTTCTAACAAGTTATTTGTCAGACATGCAAGATAGTGATAGACAAATACAAATATGCTTTTATCTATTCTTATACACAATCTATTAAATACCGTGTCAAAAGGTCTCTTTCCTGTATCAGAAGAAGGTACTGGTAGTCTCACCACTTCTGCATAGGTCATCTTGGGTGACAAAGATTCTACATCAGGTACCTGTACCTGAGATAAGGTTGCAGTCACGGATGTAACACACTTTTGTCTCTCTGCTAAATAGTTCTCTATAGTCATCTTCAAAATAAAAGCTCCATTTCTATTTACATGAAGTCCGTCCCTTCCAAGATGAACAGCAGGTTTAAAGAGCTGTGCATAATCAATAAAAAAACATCTACTGTAACCACAAGTTAAAGACTGTATACCAGCGTTCAACTTAAAGACATCTCTCTGCAGTCTTGGCAATGCTGACATGTTCCAATAACTACTCTCATAGTGGTTTACTGCACGGGGAAGTATGCCACAAATACCTATTTGCAACGATTTAAATTTCAGCAGCAAATTCTCTATCAGGAATCTATAAGATCTAAAGACAAAATAAGAAACTTGTACATGAGGCAAATAATATTCATCATATTCATTATAGTAAATAAGATTATTCAACCTATTGTTTATAATTAAAAGGAAAGCTATACCTGCCAAATTCATTACCATTAGAAACTAGGTAATTTTATATTATATATAACAAATGTTTCTTTGAAATCAATAATAATCAGCCAATCAAATTACATGATTTGTCAAAGATCTCAAATAATTATCGGTTACCGTTATTTTGGGAAAGAATTTAATGTGTTCGGCCAAATTCATTCAGTTTTTTTTATCACAAAACATGTAAATTTTATCGTAATCATGGTAACGCACCAAAAACATCATTTGGCAAGAATTTTTAACATTGTTCATCATGAAGGTCCCCTATTACGAACCTCATGATTGCTTACATACACTACATTTGAACTTTGGTGGATAGTCATCTAATGGGAAATTATACCTCATCTCTTTTATTTTTATATAGTATCAGCAAACAGGTTTACAATACACCAATCTCGAGTTGTTTTTTAATGAATGAGCAACACTGGTTGACTCGGGGTCAATCGGCATAAATTATGTCATTGAACAATCCGTTTTTACTGTGACGTAATAACATAACCATACACCTTATCGATATTTGGAAATCTGCGCCAGTGGGCCTGAGAATCTGCGCCGCTTTAACTTTTGATGTCATACAACAATCACTTTTCCATTGTGGCGTCAAAATTTCACGGGAACCTTTGTGATGTCCAGTAATGGCGGACAAATAGCGATTAGGTGTATTGTTACATACTAAAGGGGATTTTAAGGGAAGTGCACAAATCGAAAGTTGACTACCGGTATAAATTTTTGTATTTGTTTTTTTTAAACCTCCTTACCTCAAAGTTGATTCAACATCACCAAATACATCATTCGAACCTAGATGCAGAACAATCTGGTCCGGGTTTTCTGTCTTCATGGCACTCATCAGTTGGGAATAGAATTCTTTCCGGTCATTCTGTACTTTGGCACCAGGTATGCACAGTGTTCTAACTGGGTATTCAAACATTGGTACAAGCTGCTTCAGGTTGGAATCCCCTGCAATTAAAACGCTTCTCAAAACTTTATTAAGGTTAGTGTTAAACATTTCTATAATATAAGTATGAAACAATATCGATCAAATATGTTAAAAAATTTAAATACTACAAAATTCCTTCAACTGCAGGCAAATACAAAACACTAAGACGTAACAGTCAAAAGGACTATATTCTGTATCAATAAAAAACTTAGCTGGCTACTTTATGTCTCGTTTTATGTACAACAATTATTTACAAATATATACAAATCTATTTTCAGAAATAATTTTGGTTTTGGTACCAAAAGATTTAGACAGAAAAATACGCTATCGTCGTAGTTTTCTTGCTAGTTTGTCTCAAAAATACGATGCCGTATAAAAGAGGAAATATATATATACACAGACTCTCAATATCTATTCGGATATATTATCAAAATGTCGACAAAATATAGCTTTTTCTTTATCGCAGTGGTAAGAAATGTGGAAGATAGACGCTATAGGATGCAGCATTGGATGATGGGAGTTTGAGAGCACCATGTATCCTTTTAGCAGCCAATGAAAACCGCCGTCGCAACTTAACCTAATTTAAATATTAATTTGGGCATATGCAGAATATTTCCCATCCGACCTCTGATATATTGACCTAGAGATTTGCACATGAAGAAGCCATGCGCGTAGCTACGTTTACGTCAAAACGCCCGGGCGTACACTTGAATTTGGGGGAAAATTTTTTTTTTATCTAAATAAATTAAAAGAGTTGGTCAAAAACATTTGAGCCTTGTAGTTCTTTCTTCTGTGACTTTTTACGAAGAAAAGAGTGACAAATCTACCTTTTTAAACGATTGGACTGGAAAAATTAATTAAGCAAAGCTTTTATTAAAGATCTTTATCTTATAAGTGTGAGTGACTGAAGTCTAGATAATAAATATCGATAAATAGTTGCATAAATCAATACAAAGCTTGAAGCTGTCAAATTTAATTTAAAACTGCTTTATCCTCATATATGCCCCACCGCACATGGATTAAAATATATGAGATCATGTCTCCATGCATTCAATATATGACATCACCACAAAACTTTGTTTCATTGATTCGTATCTAGTTTTTGGTAAAGTCTCTACTTTTTGTTAAATGTCGAAGAAAAAAATAGATGAATTTTTTAAGCCAATATCATCTACTGCTACTTCGTCAAAGCATACAATTGCCCAGATACCATTGGAAGATGAACATTCTGTCGATTCTTCAAAGCCTAAAGATAATGCCGTTGCGGATTCGAACATTTCTGCCAGTGCTGATAGTACTAGTGACTGCTCAAGCTATATTGATATTTGTAAACTAAAAGAATCTAGCATTCAAGACTGTCAGATAAAAAAAGACATTCTCCAGAAAGAATGGGAGTCTATGAGCAGTTTCAAGTTTCCAGCAAGGTATTATTCTAAAATATAATTGGTTTCAATCGCAGCTTTCAGTTTTTCATATATATAAACAAATCTTAATTAAAAACAACGTTCAAACCTATGATTGCGTTGGATAAAAACCGCAATAAAAACCGCAATTTTTACACGTGTGCATGTAAAACAAATTTCTTGGTAGAGGTGTCTAAATACAGCACAAACAACATTTTCCAAAAGACCAAAAAAGTGAAAAGTATATTTTAACAAAACGCATTTGACTAACAGGTCGAACAACGGATTTTTTTAAACCTTGCTGACTGCCATTTGCGATTGCCAAATAAATTGATCACCAGATGTAACATGGATCCACTACCAAACAGAAAACAATAAACTTGCGGAGAAGATGGTATACCGCAAACATGAGGTGCAAAAATTTGTACACCATATCCGGATTTCGACAATTAATGTCTCTTCAATAACGGCAATTTAAAATAAATAAAATAAATATTTATGTTTTCAGGCTCATCGGTGGAAAAATGAGACGCTTAAATGCATCTTGGTTAAAAGAAAACGCATGGATGAGATATTCTATCAACAAGGATGCCATATACTGCGTTTATTGTACTTTTTTTGTCAAACGTGATATGAAAATAAAATCTTTTGGACTTTCGTCTCCTGTAAATGACTGGTCAAACTTGTCACATTTAGTAAAACGACATCTGCAAAATGATTCTGCTCACCATGATTGTGTAAGATTGGGACAAGACTTTTTGGATGTTGTAACTTCAAAATCAAAGTCAATAGCTTCTTCACTGTCATCCTTTCATCAAGAGACAGTAACAAAAAACCGACATATTCTTTCAAAAATAATTGATGTAATCATCCTGTGTGGACATCAAAATATGCCACTTCGTGGGCATGCTGAAGAAAAAAGTAACTTTATGGCAACACTAAAGACAATTGCCAAATCGGATGACGTCTTAGCTATGCATCTTGAGACTGCAACGTTAGTTAAATATACGTCCCCGGAAATCCAAAATGAATTGATCGACATATGTGCAGAGCAAATATTAGACCAACTTAAGGAATCGTGTAGTAACTCACCATTTCTTGCCATACTTGCTGATGAAACAACAGATAAAGCGACTCAAACTCAGCTTTCAGTATGTGTTAGATTTACAGAAACTATTGACAATGAAGTTAATGTCCGTGAATTATTTTTAGGGTTCCTGCACGCCAAAGCTACAACTGGAGAAGCAATTGCAAATCTGTTACTTGAATTTATGAATAAAAATGGTTTATGTCTACAAAAACTGAGAGCACAGGGATATGATGGGGCAAGTAATATGTCAGGTAGACATAATGGTGTCCAAGCACTTATTCGTAACCACGCACCTGATGCAGTTTATGTGCATTGCAAAGCACATTGTTTGAATTTAGCAATCGTGCATAGCTGTAAAGAGCCTGTGGTAAGGACAATGATGGCAACAGTCCAGGAGATAGCCTTTGCATTTGAATACTCCGCAAAAAGATTACAGGCCTTTTCTGAGGAACTCACTGGGAATGCGGTTGTTAGAGAGGCAATGGAACAAAAAACAAAGTTAAAGAAGCTTTGTGAAACAAGATGGTTTAGCAGATCTGATGCTCTAACAACATTCAAACATGCTTTTCCAGTAGTTGTAGATTCATTGGAGCATCTTCGGAATAACCGTGATGATAAAGCCGGGATGTTTAGAGCTGCTATTCTCCGGTTTGATTTCATCGTGTGCTTAGTTGTATGTCAGCATATCCTCAACTGTGTTGTTCATCTGTCATATTTTCTACAGGATATATCTTGTGACATGTTATCAGCTATAGATGAATGTCGAGTTGTGATATCTCAGCTTGAACGGATGAGACAAGATGACACAATATGGGAATCTTTGTTTGAAGAAGCCAAAAAAATCGCTAATGAGCATGATATTGAGCCATCTTGTCCAAGACGAGTCGGTCGCCAGCAAAACCGTGCCAATGTTCCTGCAGATAGTGCTTCTGATTATTGGCGAAGAGTACTTTATTATGTATTTTTGGACCATCTTATTAATGAACTACAACAGAGACTTATTGTTACAGAGCCAAGATTTCAAGCCAACTGCCTGTTACCTTCACAAGCTACCAAAAATCAAATCACAGATGCTAAAGTTGATGAATTATTTACAGCTTACAGGACTGACATTCCTGGAGATTTGGACTTCTTTAAAACCGAAGTTGATCGTTGGATCATTCGTTGGGGTTTGTCTGCACAGAAACCTTCTTCTCTGTGTGAAACTCTTAACATGACAAGAAAAGTCTTGTATCCATGTATTTGGAACATTCTTACCGTACTGATAACCATGCCCGTTGCGACAGCTACTGCGGAAAGATCTTTCAGTGTTTTACGTAGGGTAAAGACGTACCTACGCACTACTATGCACCAGGAGAGACTATCCGCATTAGGGTTAATGCATATTCACCGAGAAATCCCAATTAACGTAGAGGGAGTTATAGAAACATTTGCATCACGCAAAAACAGGAAAATGTCTTTTCTGTACTAGTCGAATACTGACTGTGTATCCATTACACATATATTTTGTTATTTAGATATTGATTGTCGATATTTTAGCTGTCTGCTTCTAGCATAGCACTGCATATACAGTGACTAGTCTAATAGTTCTGGTAACTTATTTAATTTATTCCCAATATGTATCAACGTTTACTTTGATTGTTTGAGACAATGTTACATGATGTACTTGTTATTAAAGTTTTCTTTGGTTAGTATAACTATTGAAGCTGAAATACGATATTGGTTCTGCATTTTTATTTTACACCAGACCATCTATCAATAATATTATTTTTTTCGTGTTTTCATTATAATTTCACGAAATTTGGGCAAGAAAAGTCGGGGAATAGAAATCAAAATAATTTACAGAATGGTAACATTAAAACGAAGTCTTGCTGTTTTACTATCTAAAGTTTCGAATTTTGTGTTGACTGACTGTGATACCCCACATCTATTTTCAAACATATTTCACAGTAACTGGATAGGACAGTTTAATCTAAAACAAATAACCATTATATTCCAAATAAACACAATGAATAAATTAAACATAAATAAATAAGCATATTATTTAGTCCCCAAAGTATGTTGAGTTTGTTTTGACAGAAATAGTATATATTTGTTTATGTTTATAACGCATGAGTTTAATTCCGAAGGATTTCGCTGAGGTTCGGGCGTACACTTAAAAATGGTCTAGCTACGCCACTGGAAGCTAAAGTTAAGAATGATGAATACACACATGAAGGATATTAAATTAACCTAACGTTTGGGTGGAAAATTAAATATATCTAAAGAAGAAAGTTATTATAATTTGAACAGAGACCGGCGGACAAATATAAATTTTAGTTTCAAAATTGAAATCTGGGATTTCCCGTTTTATAAATAGAGTATACACAATACTATTTATACAAATGGATTTTTGTTTTGTGCTAGAAGGTTGTTTTTCCAGGGATGAACGTATGATCATGAATTTATGATAAATCACAGATAAAGGATGTGGCATATTGATGATTAATACAGTATTTGAGTGAAATGTATACATGTATATGTTATAAATTTGTTTGAACTCTGTATGTTTCATTGATATATGTTTTTACGTATTTTTCATTTTTTGTTAGGAGTAAGTATATTAACACTGTTGTTCTCTTCTTACCCCAATGTATATATTGCTATCTTTGGAAAAGCGTCAACCCCCCCCCCCCCCTTTTCCCCACAAAAAAAAAAACAAAACTACCTACTGATGGACACACACACGCAATAACTTATTTCTAAGTTGGATACTTTAAATGCAGATTACGTTCTACTAATGGAAGTTTTGTTTGCAGTATTTAGCCATTAATCTTCGGTTGGTATCGCGGTTGTATAGAAGCCATGTTGGCTGGAGTATTAATGAATCCATTTTCCTGTAGAAGCCACGTTAGTCATGAAACGATATACGTATCTGTTACATTGTATATACACGAGACTTTTGATTTAATTGAATCGTGATAGATCTTTTTTATAAGATGTGTTTTTATTCATTTCATAAATGTGTTTGCAGTTTGTTATTGTGTCTATGTATTTTCCTTTCTCATTTCATGTTATATATTTCTTACCGAAGGTCAGTGGTTTTCTCCGACATCTGCTACAAATCTACAAATTAAAAAAAAATGACCGCCTCGAAATAGCACAAAAGTGCTGAAAATGGCATGAGAATGGAAACAGGGAATGTGCCAAAATGACAACAACCCGACCAAAGAGAAGAAAACAACCCAATGCCACAAAAGGGTCTTCAACACAGCGAGAAAAATCCGGACCCAAAGGCGGGCTTCAGCTGGCCCATAAATAAATATGTGTACTAGTTCAGCAAAACAGACGCCAACTTACAAATGAAACAAAATTTAAACTGATTGAAAGATTATGTCTTCATCATACGAAAATCAAGCACAATATCTCCCGTTAGGGGTTTAGTATCATATCATGATAAAATATATGAAAATAATTAACATAGCCCGTATCATGCCAACAACTGGTTTTGGAATTAATGTGTTTATTTCCGATGCAAAGACCCTATGAGTGAATCAATATTAATTAAAAAAAAATGCTATTTTTAATTACCTGACAACAGTATCGTAACTATATAACTATGACCTTTCTATAGGTCAATTTTCAACCAAATTGTTTAAAGTCTTGTAGTGAAAACGACCGTTTGGAAGTCAATTGGTAATAAAAATAACACCTGTTTTTTTGGAAATCTTGATTTAGTATACCATGGAGCGCATTAATCCTATATTTTAATGCAACTTATTCAACACGTAAATGTTGGCTCAAAATAGTCCAATGGTGCCCCTTTAATAGCGAATGTGTGTCTGTGCTGTTATGAATTACAATTTAAGGCTAAACTCATGAAAAAAAAACGTCTAAATTCCATTCAATTGAGAAATTCAATAACCCTTACGTTTTCTCGATGATATTTTTTTCGTTATAAAATCAAGAATTCTCTAATATACTGCCAAAATTTTTTTGCTAAAAGTTTTACACCGAATCTATATATTTTGCTTTGAAACCAAAATATTGGCGAAAAAATAATTAAAACAAAACTTGTGTTTCAGATTAAGAAAAGGTCTAGGAAACACTCAGAATGCACGATTTTGCGTAATTTTTCGCCTAGCTCCGCTCGGCCCTTATATTTATTTTCATAACTTTTTAGAGAGGCTAGTTTCCGCACTGCTTTAATACCTTATCCCATTTTAACCAATATTGTGTTTGTACTTATGCAATATATGCAGTTTGGAATTCAGAAGATTCATTTCCAGAGGATGATGATTTATTCTGATTAAATGGTACATAATGACTTGACTATGTTATTTAAGAATAAAAAAAAATGAATTTAAAATCGTGTATTTTCAAATATTATAAATATAATTGTGAAAATAAATAATCAGTCCCTTCTTGTTTTCATGAAAATGAAAAATCATGCTTCAACAGTGCAGAAAAATGAATAATCTGACAGTGTCCTTTTAGCCTACAAAAATAAATAGCCCATCTAAAACAAATCCTCCAGCAACATCCCCGCCCCCGCCCAAAAATCAAATGATCGTCCCCTTATTTCAAACTTTATACTGAATAAATTTATATTAAACTTAATTTCACATCCTTAATTTTACGGTGATGGTATTTACCGAGCTCGGCAACTTAGATACGATCCGGGTAAACTTATCAATCTTTTGAATAAACTTATTCTAAAAGGTTACCAATTCAACACTGTAATTAGATATTTGAATATTGTTTTTATTGGAATAAATATTGATTTTGTAATTTTTGTTATAAGTTAGGCCGTTAGTTTTCTTAATTGAATTGTTTCATATTATTCATGTCGGGCCCTTTTATAGCCAGACTATATAATTTCGGGCTTTCCTGCCACATTCTTTGTGTGCCTATGTCGGGGCCTTTTATAGCCAGACTATACAATTTCGGGCTTTCCTGCCACATTCTTTGTGTGCCTATGTCGGGGCCTTTTATAGCCAGACTATACAATTTCGGGTTTTCCTGCCACATTCTCTGTGTGCCTGCCCAAAGTCAGGAACCTGGGGCCGTGTCAATTAAAGTATCCTAAGATATGTCCTAAGACATGTCTTAGGACATTGTTTAGGATAGTCTTAGGACGTGTCTGAGATATGTCTTAGGATGTAAAACAAAGCTATCTTAGGACAGTCCTAACTACGATGGTCCTAAGACCATCCTAACATGTTTATTTAATTAATACAATATGTAGTGAATGAAATGAAATAGATTTTGATGCATTTCTTTATATATTTAAAGGTTATTTGTTAGTGTTTTTTTTAGGGGTTGGGGGTCTCATCTGTTATGAAAAAAAAACACAAAATAAAGGTTTTAACATATACTAATAAAAACATAATATAAACTGTAAAAATGAAAGAATAAAATGAACATACACAGCGGCCATATTTGTTGTTTTTATTTCAACTTAGGACACCATAACTCTTAGGACTATCCTAGGACCATCCTAAGACACGTGACCTATTCATATATCCTAACTTTAAGTCCAAATTTAGGACACATCTTAACTTAGGAGACTTTCGTTAACCTGACTTAGGACTAAGACGTGCCGTAAGACCATCCTAAGACACGTCCTAGTCCTAAGACCGCTTCGTTGACACGGCCCCTGTAGTTCAGTGTTTGTCGTTGATTCATGTCTTAATTGTTTTTTATAAATTGTTTTGTTATAAATTAGGCCGTTAGTTTTCTCAATTGAATTGTTTCATATTTTTCATGCCGGGGCCTTTTACATGTTTTATAGCCCGATTATACGATACGGGGTTTTCTCGTTGTCGAAGGCCGTACGGTTGCCTATAACTGCTTACATCCACTACACTTGAACTTTGCATTGGTGGATAGTTATTTTTCTCGTTGGCAATCATAACACATGTCCTTATTTCTAAAAATACATGTATATTTCGTTTTGACCAAAAGTTTCATTCTGCAATTGTTTTTGCTAGTTTAAGTAAACAATGACATCAGACTGAGGCACTATTTGTTGTCCAAGAAGGGCTACTTTTGTTCTAAGTTGGAGTGAGTGATTTCGTGGTATGACACATAAAAAGAGATAAACGCCATTGAAAATAAGTTCTACTTGGTTGACTGTGATCAAATTAGAAATTCCTACATTAGATTTATGTTTAAATAAAGGACAGGCTTATGATAATGGAGGTAACTTTTTTAAATATGTTTCCAGTTGGCCAAAAGAATTATTTGTTTTCCTTTTTAGGTGGGCTAAAATTAAAGTTGCTTGTTCTAAATCTAAGTTTCCACACTAAAATACACTTACATCGTATTAATTTTTTTTTCTGGCAGATTTTGTTTTTCTAGTTAATTTCTGCATCCTATGCAATCTTTCCAATCACGGCCGGGAATGACCTTTTCAACAACTTTTTATGTTTGTATGTTTATTACTTAGACATTTTAATAAGACCAATGTATTCCATTTTTCTAATATGGCGCTGAATGTCACAGTTATTAAAAGCAAGGATGCACACATTAGAAATTGATCTGTCAGTTTAGTGAGCATGGTGAGAGAAAGAAAACAGATAGTTTCCCATTAATTTTGTACATGTGCATATAACTGTATTTAGCAAAGTATAATGGGTATACCAATCAAAACTTGGGTGCGAAGGGTGTGTGTGCAGAAAATATGCAACAAAAAATGATTCTTTTAAGGTATTTGTTGTTTTCCTTATCTTAAAAAACTTATTTTTAAGGTCTTGCAAATATATGCTTGCTGTTCGGTGTTATCCAAGGCTCCGTGTTGAAGGCCGTACTTTTTACACATTGTGACTTGGATGGAGAGTTATCTTACCTCCTATACATTTCTAGGAATATGATTGGTTAAAAGCGTCCGTGTGGTTACCGTGTATATTCCATATTAGGTTAGTAGGGAGGCGGGGCTTATTTCCTACACGGTTAGTAGTGGTGTTACGTCCCTTTATAAAAACAAAACGGTACTGAGAAAAAATCTTAAAGGTTTCAACAGACGAAGAAATTGATGATGAAGATTGAAATAAATTCATAAAACACATTTAAACCTAACAAGTTGTTATTGTTGGCATCTGTTTTTGTAAGATCAATGGGAGTAGTTTCTTAATGCTAACGGTATTGAAGACTTGCTCATTTTGATAGGTCACTAGTCTAAATTTCACACGTTAAGATAGTCGGTAAGATAAATTCGTTACATAGTCTACTAGTGACGTAATACGGTATATATGAGGTCAGTAAATTCCATATGGGGATTCGAGCTTCGCTCTCACCCCATATTGAATTTACTGACCCCATATATACCGTATTAGGTCACTAGCACACTATGTAACTAATATTATCTCACTGGCACTCATACCCCATCTACTTATTTCTATAAACAACAATTTCTTAGTAGTTTGAGTTTAAAACTTTTCTTTTATTCTTGTTGTTATATACAAATGTTTTTTATTATATATTTTAAGTTGTCATAAACTATGAAATCATAACACACAATTTAAATAAGCCTGGTATTTAAATATAATATTCTATTTGATAAGTATAGATTTTTTTACAATTTCTTAAAACATTTATGTTAATATATGTATATGAATTCATTTTGTTAATATTTTTTTCAAAAAGCAGTTGCGAGTAATATAACAATACATAGGAACGTCGCCTACACACAATCTCAATACTGATATTCTCCGAAAACTTTATTGGACCACCCAACCACCCACACATATACAAACACACATCCGTGTTAAATCCCAAGATATTATGTCATCAAAGATCATGATCTAATGTCAACAAGTTGAGTATGAGCAGTCGAGAATACAACAGTCACGATTCATTCTATTATTAGTCTGAAAGAAAAAAATAGTCATTTTAAAAACAAGAGTGTGATTACGAGTTTATACTAGACTGAAGTAGACCTGCACATGCGTGCTGGCAAAGTTTTATTCTTTAGAAAGCAAGTCGTGACACTAGGACTATTACAATTCTGGCTTTCAGCCAACCAGACAGAGTTTTTTCTGCTACTCTGATTATAATTTGGTTGACAGTTAAAAAGTAAATACAAAATTCAAAGTCTTTGGATTGATTCGGCGACGAATCAAACAAAAGCATTATTTTTGCGATTTAGGCGCATATGCTACCACGAGACCACATAGGGAATGAGTTGTTGTAATTTTTGGTTGCGTAAAAATGAGAAAATAAAGTTAGTCATATTTTAATAATACATTTTGTAAGAGGTATCGCGGCCTTCCTGTACCCGGATCGTCCAGATTATTTTTTGGTAATAAAATGCTTACGGCTTTGTAATGAGTATAGTGGTTTGGGTCCAATATTATTATGGCGTCAACATTGCTTTTAAAACGTCTACCTTTGTTGGTAAATCAAATACAGACTATTGTCTTGATCGCAAACCACACAAATAGCTATAGCTAGATTAGATTGGAAGAAGTAGTAATATTGAGGTTGCACTCTTCTGTCAGTATTTTAATATTTAATGCACCACTGTGCCTTATAAAACATTCATCATAAATTAACTTTTATATAATTTAGTGGCTTTATTGTGTCAACATCAGGATACAATGAGTTCCTTTTCTGTTACAGGGGTAGCTATAGATAGAGATAGATTTGAAGGAGGTAGTAATATTGAGGTCTCACCCTTTTAAGAGTTTTTTTCAAAATTCAATGCACCACCATGCCTTATGAAACATTCATAACTCGAGTGAATATATGGTTCGACTGTGAATTATTTACATGAAAATACCGAACATAAAATCCTACCAAAAACATTGTCACGATGGTGCGCATGCGTTGCATTTTTACCAAGTTTAACAATAAGGTTCATTTGTTTAATTTTAGTCCAGTCATGGGAAAAAGGTTAATTTTTATATAATTTAGTGGCTTTATTGTGTCAACATCAGGACACAATGAGTTCCTTTTCTGTTACAGGGGTAGCTACAGCCAGAAATAGATTTGAAGGAGGTAATAAGATAACAAGAGAGTCTGATGATTTGTATGGTCCGTATGATATTCCAGTGAACACCTCCTTCATGGTGTACCCATTTTCATCCGTTAGCCCTAGCTGAGACATGGTCCGATTGACCATCTGAAGCAAACCACCAACATTCTTATTAAATATTCCAACTGCATATCTTCCTTCAGGACTTAATGGTCGGAGCCAACTTTCCAGTCTACCTGTCTGAAAAAGTAAATATACTAAGTAAAAAAGTTTAGCAACATAAAATTATGCTTTAATAAAAAAAAATATCCAAAGTTGTGGAAATAAATGTTTAATAATTGTATTTTATGATTAATGTTCTTGGTTTCAATAATTTATTTATTGTTAATATATTATTTCTTTTTGAAATGTAGAATTGAAAATATTTGTTGCTTAACTTTTTGTACTCAGTATACCTTTTTGATTCATAAAGAAAATTAAAGGTCAGTTGCATTTAAAAAAGATAATTGCATATACTATACATTGTATCACGAATAACGAGCATAAGAGAATGAATGAGATTTGGCTTATAATTTAAAATAAAACAAAAACAATTCAAAGTTTCAGTAAAAAGAGGTTACACATTTCAATTCATCATTGTCAAGCTGCTGACTAAATAAAAAGCCATGTTCTGTTATTATAAAGCACCCATGCAACCACTTTGTTATTATAAAGCACCCATGCAACCTTATAGGTGTTTTATAATAACAAGATGCAGCAGATTTTGAGAAAAGTGAGATGAAAATATTTTTTTGACGAACGGACGGACGGATGGACGAACAAGGTGATTTTAAATTATACTCCACACTTATAGTGTTGTATAATTGATGTATGAAGAGGAAATCCAGATAAGTGGGTTTTTTTGCAGGTATATGCATTGAGGCTGTTTTTTGTTCTTTGGTCGGGTTGTTGTCTCTTTGACACATTCCCCATTTCCATTCTCAAACTAATTGAGAACTCAGTTAAAATTTGTATACAGAAGTATTGTTAAGAGAAATAAGAAAATGTTCTACGATGACAGAATACTTATAAATTTATTTGGATTTGGTATTTAAACACTTACATATCCATCTATGTTCCAAATTCTTTTTCCAGCAATACCGAGTGGGTCCTGATGTATAGCCAGTAACTCTTTATTTAATAACAACTGTTTTGCTGACTCATCAATGTTCCTGAGATCTACCGACATAAACAACGGTGCCGCCATTATAGCCCACAACCCAATCTGTGTCTGCTGCTGTCCGGCGCTTAATGAGAAATCACCAACTATCAGCTACAATTGAAAGAAAAAATATCAATTTCATCAGGAAAAATTAATTTTATGCATGTAGCTAGAAACAGTTCATTGCTTTATTGATTGGTGATTTACGTCACTTTCAGCACCATTGCGCTATTTCGTGGCGGTCAGATTTTATTGGTGGAGGAAGCCGGAGTGCCCGTAGAGTACACCGACACTCGGTAGGAAAGCTAGAAACAAGAATCAAGAGTACACACGCTAAAATGTCTCGCCTGCTTTACTGACCATTGATAATATGTTGATAGTCCTAAAAATAAAGCTTTACTACGAGAATCACATAAACTTAACATGATCCAAGAAAATGAGGTCAAGGTTAGATAAACCAAACTGGAAATACATGTACACCTTACAATCAATCATTCCATATTCCAAATTTAGTTGAACTATTGCTTACAATTTCTAAGAATCAAACTTAACCAGGAAAACTTAACATTGACCAATGAACCATGAAAACGATGTCAAGATCAGATGAACCAAGCCAGACAGACATGTACACCTTACAATCAATCTATGCATTAAATATAGTTGACACATTGCTTATAGTATCTAAGAAACCAACTTAACTATGATAACTTAACATTGACCAATGAACCATGAAAATGAGGTCAAGGTCAGATGATACCTGCCAGACAGATATATACACCCTTACAATAATTTCATACACCAAATATAGTAGACCTATTGCTTATACATGTAGTATCTGATATATGAACTTGACCACGAAAACTTAACCTTGCAAGGTACGCACATACTAAATATAGTTATCCTATTACTCATTATAAGAGAGAAATTAACATTACAAAACATCTTAAACTCAGTAGTCACTGAACCATGACAATGAGGTCAAGGTCAATGGACATATGACAAACGGAAATTTCATAACATAAGGCATATATTTACAAAGTATGAAGCCTCAAGGTCTTCCACCTTCTAAAATATAAAGCTTTTAAGTAGTAAGTTAACGCCACCACCGACGCCTCCGCCGGATCACTATCCCTATGTCGAGCTTTCTGTGACAGAATTCGCAGGCTCGACAAAAAATATTTGCACCCAATCAATGATAAGATAAATTGATCTTTAAACATTGAACATCAAGGAAATGTTAATAAAGAGCAATTGAGCACATTACCAGTGCTAGGGGCCGTTTTGAATCGCTGTAAGTTAATGTCCGTTTAAAAAACATCAACTTGAATGTAACTTTGAGATGAAAAACAGCAATTGAAGACCGTTTGTTTGCTTTTAGTATTATCAAGTGCATGTAGGTATTGTGTGTCATATTTTACTTAACCGTATCACTTTTTTTTTTCATTACTGGACTAAAATTAAACAAATGAACCTTATCGTTAAACTTGTTTAAAAAGGCAACGCATGCGCACCATCGTGACATTGTAATTTGTTTTGATTTTATGTACGGCATTGTTATGTTAATAGATAACAGTCAAACATTTTATTCACTCGAGTTTCACACAGTGTATCCGCATAATTATTTATATATATATATATCTATACAAAACCGCGGAGGGATCCGATTCCCGAGGAAAATTAATGAGAAGTTTGTAACGGTGGGCAAGTAAAATCTTGATCCGATTTCTACGGAGGAATTATGCCTCGTGGGAATCGGATATAGATTTTACCGAGTACCCAGCGTTACGAACATTTCGTTAATTGCTTCTCGGTATTCGGATCCCTCCGCGGATTTTGGAACTGGATACACGATGTGAGTTTTTACACAATAAATAAGATGCTGTGGGATCAATGAGGCAGCAGCTTGACACAAAAAGCAGAAAAAAAATAAAATTGAAACAAAAAGAAATGAGAAATGTAAAATAAAAATATTAATAAAACAAAACAAAAAAGATAAATGGTAAGAAATATGACCATGCAGTTTTTAAAGCTCCCTTGAGCGGCTCTTGTCTAGAAACGTTGGGAATAAACAGTAAAAAAATATGAGAAAGAAACTATCGATTTGTTTGGATGAATGACGTTATTTCCAAACACCATGATAATAGTTAATAAATCTAACCTGATCCGCATCGTTCCATCCACCAGGTCCAGCGATTTCCAGGAACTTCTTGTCGTTTTTGCCATAAAATTCAATGATGTTAAAGACATATTGCCAGCTATCTTCTACGTCTTCATAATTGCGCCACATATTACAATATTTTTTTGCTAAATTGTAGTTGACCTGAAAGTAGGCGACTCTTAAATTTTGTGTATTTTGTTACTGGCCTTTTATAAGGGTCCTGATGGGGTTCCTTCATTTCTGTATTTTTTTATATATATTTTAGGCCATTTTTCTCTATTCTTTGCAATTTTTTCCCATTCTTCTCTATTCTTTATATTTTAGCACCTCATTATTCTCTATTCTTTATTTTTTGGTCCATTTTTCTCTATTCCTTATACTTTTTGTCCATTATTCTCTATTTTGTTAACCCCCATCCACACTTACCCTCTTTTATACTGATAGTTACGTGACTTGACAGTTATGTGAAACTGTACTGGATTTTATTGTATTTGTTTCTTTAATGTACGTTTTGTAAATCTATTGATCGAGGTTAAAAGGGGGAGGGTTGAAAATAATAAAAAAAGACTAGCCTAATCTTGTCACATCTTTATGTGTCTGTCCAAGGCCAAGAACCTTATTGGATTGCTGCTCAAATAACGTATTCCAAACATATTTGGTTGTTTTGGTTAAAATTGCCAAATCATGCAATTGTTGACATAATAATGTTTTTCGTTATTGAAGAGTTCGGTGATGAGCGCAGATCTAATATATTTTCTGGTAAATTTATTTACCCGATATGGGGACGATTTAATTAGAGAACGACTATAGGTATAATATTTCAATAGTGCATGGATAAACATTCTGAGCTGATTAGAACGGAAAATTGTTTTCTTGTCTGTGCCAAACGAGATGATGGAAATAAAAATGTATAAAATTGAAAATATAAGAAAGACTAGCAAAAGGTATAAAATCCTGCCCCCTCTCCCCCAGAATATCCAATGGTCGTTCCCAGAGAGGTTAACATATTATTTGGACACCTGTCAATTGTTGAAAACTACATGTAGTCATCTGGGTCTTTTGGGCTAATTTTGTTTTGTGGTTGTTGTACCATTGATGTATACCAAACATATCACATTGTCTATAGTTAAAAGTTATCCACATCAAATAATTTTAAAAAAATGACGTCAAAGCTATCTTTACATTGTGATACGTTAGAGAAAGTTTAGAATTTTAAACTTTCAAAACGATGTTTGAATGTAAAATTGTTGTGACACTTTGCTGACGGTCATAATCCAAATGACATGAACAACAATATAGCCTTACTTTTTCAAAGTGAAAAGAAAAAAAAAAAACCCAACATCTGACATTAAAATTCAACAAAGAAGGAATGATCAAATTAACTATACATACAATTCAAAATATGATATCAACTTTAAAAGATATAAGTATTTTTTCAAAAATTAAAATCTTTATGTAAATTCTTAAACGTGTTGTTAATTTTTTTATAGTGTTTTAAGTTTTAGTATCAAGTTTGGTTAAGTATTGCGTTTTATCTCTAGATAAAACAGTCTTAAACAGCAGTTAGAACCGACGAATTTTCGACCGGTTTTAAACAACAATTCGTTGCTTAAATTTATGAAAAGAGATATCGTTGAAATATAGCTACGATTTACTTTGCGGGGATGCCATGTAACCCAATCAATCAATCAATCGCATGATGGGAGCGTTTATTGTTTCTGACGAAATCTATTGATGAAGGGAATCTCAAGACGACGCAAAATATACGAATCGTAATAAATGAGAATTGAAGTTCATTTCTAACTGGTTCATATTTGGTCGTAACTTAACTTTAAAATCACCTTTGGTCCCATACAGATAGCCAAACTACAACCATATAAGATTGGTCGGCCTGTCTTGTTGAGATACAATCCCATCTGTTCAAAACCTGAAATCGATATATTAAAAATAATTATATTCTTCATTTAGCAAAAAATAGGCTCATTACTTTGTTTCCTTTGTCAATCGATAGTGTACTCCTTCAAAACTATTATAATTGGAAGAGAAAAATCAACCATTACGGTTTATTTTTTTGTAGGCATTTGTAGATGTAAATAAATGGAGAATGTGTCCATGGGACATATGATGCCACCGCTTGCATATTATGTTATAAAGGGGAATAACTCAAGAACGGTTTAAGTGACGCCACCCAAATTCGAACTTGATCTGTGTGTTGTCGTAATAAGCATTGTGTATAATTTTCACAACCTATTGGTTGAAGTAAACTAAAGTTAAAGAACGGAAACCAATTTAGGGACGTAGGTACGGACGGACACGGGCACGGGTAACACTTAATGGCCTCTACGCTGACAGTGGGACATGCATATTAATGGTCAATCACCAATAATTTAAACGCATAATTTCACAATGCGTCTATCCTAGTGCTTTTTAACTAATCTACACAATACTAATAATTTTCATTATTTATAATCACACCAATCTGATTAAAATTCAGATCCTGTTTCAATCAATGTCAGTTGAAAAGGGCTTCACTCATCAGATCGATACAATACAGAAAAACATCTAACAAAAACACAGACCGGACATGGCACCCTTACAACAAATAAAGACACAAAGTACAGATCTGAGAGTACCTGCAGTTACTGACAGCTAGTTCAAAGCCAATAGCAAATAATTCAAAAATATGTATCTAAGATTAGAATATTAATCAGTACACATCAAACATCCTATGAATTTAGTGTATAGACGTGGTTAACAGTCAGAGAAAAGCATGACCTTGTGAAATGCCAAAATTTAGTGATCGACATGTTGTAGAAATGTGAATGTGCACATGAGTATAACTATAATATTTAGTATGGTTTTAATTGTCCCCGTCTCTTAATAGTTTCTCAATGTGGGGTTCGTTTTGCTAAGTCTTTAGTTATCTATTATTTGTTTTATAGACGCTGTTTGCTTTTAGGTCGTTTTTATTTTTTGCCCGGGCTTCGTCGATTCGTGTTCGACTTACGAGTTAATTATCCATTTGGTATCTTCCGCTTCTATTTTATAAAGGAAACTTGTTGTTTACTTTGTTTGGATTTGAGGGATTTAGCATGAACAAAACAGATATGTATTTTTTTTTTAAATTTTGACAGTAACAGTAGAAAGTGGTTTTCATCTTCTTTGTTTTTCAACACATAGGAAACGTTACACGTTATTTGGTTTTATGGTAGATATTTGCCCTTTTTTATGCCCCCGCCGTCGGCAACGGGTCATTGAGTGTTACCCTTGTCCGTTTGTTCGAGTTTGGGCAGTGAGACATTTACCGTTCTACAGTTATGGCCTTTTTTTAACTTGGAAAATTGCAAAGCTTGAACGGGGACATTTGTGTCCGCAGACATATTCTTATTTTTTTATTTATAAGTAAGTTATGACCACTAGTAAATAAGTTAAAATATTGAATAAAACCAAAGATTAACCACACACATTATGTGTTTTCCAATCAAAGTGCCATTTCTAACTGAAACTTACAAAAAAAAAACATCTTATGACGGTCACCGTTAATTTTTCTGAATTTCATATTTCGAAGATGCATGTATATCAAAATTGACTTACAGCAATAAAGTTCAATTCAACCGTTATTCGAGTTATATTCTGTTTGTCGTGGCGATAAATATTTACATTTGACCAACTGATCAATGCCGATGAAATATTTCAAAAACGTCCGCCCTGCTGTACTCTTATATAGAAGACAATATTTTCAAACTATTATATCAGTCTCAATTCCTCTCATATCCTCGGAGCCTCGATAACAAAAGGTGCTATACCTGTAACAAAGTTTGGCCCTGGGTTACAGCAATCAAGTTTCAACATATCAACGCCCCATTCAGCATATGTTGCGGCATCGCGTTCCATGTGATATTTATTTCCAGGGTAACCCTTGCATGTCTTATTGCCCACACTTCCGTAAATACCAAACTTGAGACCTTTTGAGTGTACCTGGTATGAACAAAAAGCAAAAACGATTAACCACATTTGGAATAAAAAAATACTCCGCCATTACATTTAGCCTTCCTTCTACTGTACAGATGATATTATATTTAGAGATAAAAATATTCTAGGGTTAGATGTTTTAGTGTTTTCAGTCTAGATATTGAGTCTTTACCTGGGGAACGGTAGCAAAACCTACTTAGACCATGCCATACTATATGTGTAATTTGTTTACTCATTTTAGTATGGTTTGGAGGGATCATGACAGGAATAATTCCTGGTGCTTGTCTATTAAAAATGTAATCTTCTTGTTACATATAAGTGTAAACTGTAGTAAGTATACTGTATCATTTGAAATTACACCATTTATTCTATTATCAAAGTACATACTGCATTCATTAGTTTTGGGTCGATAGTAAAATCAAATAATGAGAGGGTGACACAAGGATGTTAGTTTCCCAAATCCCATTTTTTTGCGTATTTTTTCTCAAATCCAATTTTTTTACCACTATAACATCCCAACTTTTGTGCTCCTATAGCCCCTATAGCCCACATCTCTACCTTTTTAACCCCCTATATCCAACATCCCGAAAACGTGTCATCCCCCTCTGATGAATATCAAAAACACTTTCCAATTCAGGAATATTTATTATCAAAACAATTGAAGACGACGTGGTTGACTTACATAATCAATAACTGCTTTCATACCATTTGGAAACCTTTCAGGATCAGCTATCAGCGTTCTCATTCTTCTTTCTTTTGCCATCCAGCAGTCGTCGACCGATAAATATTCATATCCCGCTTGCAGATAACCATCTTCTGTCATTCTATCTGCCATTTGCATAAGCAGCTTGGCACTAAAAATACAGGTAAAATTATCTTTTAAAATTCAGACACTATCGCTATATATAGTACGCTTGCTTTTATGTAACAAATATGCTGCAGTGGGGAAAACATCTTTTATCCCGCCATTCTATATGTGTCTGTCACGAGTCAGACGCTTGTAAGGTTGCTGTCTGTCACATTTGTTTTTCGATTATTTTTTTGTCATAAATCGGGCCGTTGGTATTTTTTGTTCGAATTGTTTTTCATTTAATCTTGTCGAGGCCTTTTACAGATGACTATACGGAATAGGATTTTTGTTGAAAGCCATATGGTGACCCATGTCCGTTAAAATCCAGGTCATTTGGACTCTTGTGGATAGTTTTCTCATTGGCAATCATACCACGTCTCCTTATTTCATATCATATACATTTTGTATATACATTTTTGTAACTGTAAGAAGTCGTGCAAAATGACAATTAAGTTGAAAATATATGGCGAAATTGAAAAGCTAGTCTCTGCATACAACATGTACAAGAGATGGGTAATATAAGGCTCTCTTGCAGACATAAAGAGTATTATTAGTCGTATCAACTCGAAAAAAAAATATAGATGGCAGTCATTGTAAATAAATAAACGTAAAAAGTAAAACATGAAAAAAACAGACAAAGACGTAAATGGTACCAAAACTTGTGATGCATAAATTAATACAATATTAATATAAAACATTATTTTCAACCCTCTTAATAGTATAAGCTATAAATTGTACGAATAACGTCTTGAAACTTTGAATCAATGAAAACCCAGGTACACACAAAACTTTCAGTTGTTCAGGTATATACAAAACTTTCAGTTGCTCAGGTATATACAAAACTTTCAGTTGCTCAGGTATATACTCAACTTTCAGTTGCTCATTAACAATGTATTTAGGTGAAATTAAAAAAAATCTAGAATTTAAGATTGATACTATCAGCCAGAAGAGCATTAGTTATGGTATAAAATAAGCTAAAAATATTGATAGGTTATGGAGCTACTTTTTGAGATATTTAAGCTAAAAAAAAAAAAAGGCGGGAAAAGGCTGACTCGGACTTTAACCTTATATTTGCATTGGTACTATTTGGGTCTCAAATCGAAGAAAAAAAATCTAGAATCTGCTTAAATTTTGTTAAGTGACCTTTTATGAGCTATTGAATTCTTATATGAAAAGAAAAATGGGTGTTGTGGGGCAAACAACATATTTTACCCTGTATAGTAGGAAAAAAACCAAGAAGTCCGAACATCTGACAAAAAATTCCTAAACCTGACTTAAGTACATCCTTAAGCCATCCTCACATAAGTATTTTTTCTTTTGTTGCTACATTGCAAAAATTGTAGATAATTGTTTTTTCAATCAGTAATCAAACCATAAACGCTGTGAATTCATATCATACATATGAAATTATTGTTTATGTAATATGTTGTTGTTTGCAAAGAAATTCCTGGAATACCAAACGTGCATGGTGTATATGGCCTTTTCCTATTTGTACGCCAAATTGTTTCATTGCTTTTTAATCGCTTGTGCATTATTGATTTTCTGATTGATTACCGTCCTTCGGCAAATATTACATGCATATTCAGGAAAATAACGTTTTTATGACATATTGATTTACCCTGCTTTGTACAAGACCAACGCGCGGATTAAGAAAGTGCTAGCTCACACGAAAGACAACTTATCCTACTCTGAACCAATAGTGTGACTCTGAGCCGACCGGATTTTGCTTTTACTCATATGTAGCATTCTTAGTTGAGAATCAGTAAATACCAGTTTACAGTCGTTGGTTTGACACATACGGGAATTTAACCAATGACCTTCCGCATTCCAGTAAAGTACGCTGCACGAGCCTAACGAGGCTATTCGCTCGTTGTTTATCTCATCATCAATATTCGTGCTTGATACAGGTCTGAATTTGGATTGAAACTCAATATTTGACATAATAGGTTTCTGACACAGAATAACTGTAGTCAAAATAGTCAAAGAACTTAGAATTGGTTATATGATTTGAATTTATATTCAATTTTTTGCTTTTGTGCAATACACTATGCTGTTGCGAATTGACCGCCCCCCCCCCCCCTTTTAAAAAAAAAAAAAAATTGAACGATTTTCTTTTTAATTTCTGGAATCTAGGGGAGAAAAATTGCCCCCCCCCCAATTTTTTTTAACCCCCACCCCCTCTTTTTCCAAAAAAAAATTCTTTCCGTCAGTCATGGTCATAATTTCAATTCAAATTTCCAATGGAGTTTGCAACCATAATAACCCATTTAAATACATCATAAAAGTCTTAAAATAGAAAATGACGTACATTATCATAGTTAAAATCAATTTACCTTAATCAGCATTTTTTAAATTATTAGAATAGTAACTTTAAAAAATGAATTGACAGCTAATCACCTGAAGACAATACAAAAATTCTTTATACATAATTTAAAAGCAGTGTAAGGGAGCTCCCTTCCACTGTAATTTGTACTTAAGTAATTGTCCATTAACCAGGAAACCCTTGTTTTTTCTCACTTTTTTGCCCCTAATTCCTAAACGGTTTGAGCCATAACCCCCCCCCCCCCCCCCTATATTTGCATTGGTACTATTTGGGTCTCAAATCGAAGAAAAAAAATCTAGAATCTGCTTAAATTTTGTTAAGTGACCTTTTATGAGCTATTGAATTCTTATATGAAAAGAAAAATGGGTGTTGTGGGGCAAACAACATATTTTACCCTGTATAGTAGGAAAAAAACCAAGAAGTCCGAACATCTGACAAAAAATTCCTAAACCTGACTTAAGTACATCCTTAAGCCATCCTCACATAAGTATTTTTTCTTTTGTTGCTACATTGCAAAAATTGTAGATAATTGTTTTTTCAATCAGTAATCAAACCATAAACGCTGTGAATTCATATCATACATATGAAATTATTGTTTATGTAATATGTTGTTGTTTGCAAAGAAATTCCTGGAATACCAAACGTGCATGGTGTATATGGCCTTTTCCTATTTGTACGCCAAATTGTTTCATTGCTTTTTAATCGCTTGTGCATTATTGATTTTCTGATTGATTACCGTCCTTCGGCAAATATTACATGCATATTCAGGAAAATAACGTTTTTATGACATATTGATTTACCCTGCTTTGTACAAGACCAACGCGCGGATTAAGAAAGTGCTAGCTCACACGAAAGACAACTTATCCTACTCTGAACCAATAGTGTGACTCTGAGCCGACCGGATTTTGCTTTTACTCATATGTAGCATTCTTAGTTGAGAATCAGTAAATACCAGTTTACAGTCGTTGGTTTGACACATACGGGAATTTAACCAATGACCTTCCGCATTCCAGTAAAGTACGCTGCACGAGCCTAACGAGGCTATTCGCTCGTTGTTTATCTCATCATCAATATTCGTGCTTGATACAGGTCTGAATTTGGATTAAAACTCAATATTTGACATAATAGGTTTCTGACACAGAATAACTGTAGTCAAAATAGTCAAAGAACTTAGAATTGGTTATATGATTTGAATTTATATTCAATTTTTTGCTTTTGTGCAATACACTATGCTGTTGCGAATTGACCGCCCCCTCCCCCTTTAAAAAAAAAAAAAAATTGAACGATTTTCTTTTTAATTTCTGGAATCTAGGGGAGAAAAATTGCCCCCCCCCCCAATTTTTTTTAACCCCCACCCCCTCTTTTTCCAAAAAAAAAATCTTTCCCTCAGTCATGGTCATAATTTCAATTCAAATTTCCAATGGAGTTTGCAACCATAATAACCCATTTAAATACATCATAAAAGTCTTAAAATAGAAAATGACGTACATTATCATAGTTAAAATCAATTTACCTTAATCAGCATTTTTTAAATTATTAGAATAGTAACTTTAAAAAATGAATTGACAGCTAATCACCTGAAGACAATACAAAAATTCTTTATACATAATTTAAAAGCAGTGTAAGGGAGCTCCCTTCCACTGTAATTTGTACTTAAGTAATTGTCCATTAACCAGGAAACCCTTGTTTTTTCTCACTTTTTTGCCCCTAATTCCTAAACGGTTTGAGCCATAACCCCCCCCCCCCCCCCCCCAAAGCCAATCCTAACCATCCCTTTGTGGTATGGAAACTTGTGGTATAATTTCAGAGAGATCCATACACTGTTCCACAAGTTATTGTCATGAAACTAGAAAAATGCTTATTTGTGCCCCTTTTTGGTCCTTTATTCCTAAACTGTTGGGACCATAACCCCCAAAATCAATCTTAACCTTTCTTTTGTGGTTGTAAACCTTATGTTTAAAATTCATAGATATCCATTCACTTAAACTAAAGTTATTGTGCGAAAACCAATGTGTCTTCGGACGACTACGACGACGACGACACCAACGTCATACCAATATACGACCGCAAAAATTTTTTGTGGTCGTATAAAAATAAGGAGATGTGGTATGATTGCCAATGAGACAACTATCCACCAAAGTTCAAATGTTAGCAATTATAGGCAACCATACGGCCTTCAACAATGAGAAAAACCCATACCATATCGTCTGCTAGAAAAGGCCCGTACATGAATATGAAACAATTCAATTGAGAAAACTAACGGCATATTTTATAACAAAACAGTTTACGAAAAACAAATATGATAGACATGAACCAACGATAAACACTGAACTACAGGTTCCTGACTTGGGACAGGCACATAAAGAATGTGGCTGGGTAAAACTAGTTTGTGAGCGCTCAACCTCCCCCTAACCTGGGACAGTTGTGTTACAGCACAACATAAGAACAAACTATAAACTCAGTTGAAAAAGGCTTAACTCATCAGATCGATAGAAAGAAAAACACCAAACAAAAACACAGACAGGACGTGGTAGAGTATATATCCATCCCTCATCCCTAACAACAAAAAAGACACTAAGTACAGATCTGAGAATGTCTGTGAATCATGATGTCTGAGAGGAATCTATATCTTTTATACGTAATGGATATCTATGATGATGCTGAAAAAGGAATGATCTATC